CCTCCCCCCCCACCTGGAACCTGGTTCGGTGAGAGCCCGGCGTGCTCCGTCCCGGTTTTGAAGGGATGCGAGGCCAATGGTCTAACGACTACGGCATGCACCACTATGAGTACCCCTTCCCCCTCCCCCCCGCCCCCCGCCCCGCCGGCCAGGACGCGTAATCAGTGGTCTAACAGCTAAGGCATGAAAAAACATGTATCTCCGCCCTGCTCCTCTTGTTCCCTCTCTTCCTGCTTACAGGCCATGCAGTCCTGGTGGACTTCTCGTTGGCGAGAACAGGGTTGGACGCGGCCCCAGACGGAAAGACCTTTACCTTCTGCGGCAGCGCGGCGTACGCGGCGCCGGAAATCATCACCAAGGAGTGAGTGACACGTGATGGGGCCCCGTGGGTGGTAATTTTTATGGTTCATGGTGGGGGTTCTATGGTGGTGTTTTTGCTTTCTTGTAGCGTTGTGTCTCGCATTAGCGTTGCTGTGGGCAGGCAGGCAAATGAGGGATCATGTTCACTGTCACGGGTTGCGAAGACCGGCGGTACAGAAGCGTGCCTTCGTAGAGAAGGCTTGTAGACTTGCAGCGTGCCGTATGGCACACTGCTGCGTACTGTTCGTGGGTAGTTCGTGTCGGGACATGTTCACGGCAGGTCTTGAGATGCCAATGACTGACTCCGTCGCGATGCGGGTAGTGTAATGTCACTCCGCTCTTGTCCGTTACTCGACGATCATATGTTGTCCGATAAAGCTTTTTTTTGTCAAGAGCATTGGACATCTTGTTGCCGAAGGCGTCGTTGGCCGACCTTCAGTGCACCCCCCTTCCCCCCCCCATTGATCGGGTCGTTCACGTAGCCCACCTAACGCAGTCCATGTACATGCGTCTTCCCCAACCCCCAGAGGACACGACACGCGGGTGGACCTTTGGTCATTGGGGTGCGTGGTGTTCGAGGCCCTGGTGGGAGAGCACCCCTTCCGACGCCCTCGGGGGGAGAAGGCGGACCACCGCCACCAGACCCAGGCTTTGTTCGACAGGATCCAACGCGGCCGGCTAGAGTACCCCAAGTCGCTGTCGGTGAGTCTTTGAGGGGTGGGGGGGTGGGGGGGAGTGCACACATGCGGTACACATGGGTTCATGTGCGTCCCGCGTGCGATAGCTACACGGGTGTGGAAGGGTCTACGGCCTCGGATTACAGCCGAGGTTGGTGACAAGCAGACTTTGGCGGCTACGGTTCAAGTGGCATGACTTGAAAAAGGCAGCATGAGTGAGAGATAAAATGATGCTTATCCAGGCCATGATACATCTTATGCAAAGTACTTTTTGATGGCACGGTGAATAGAACACCGGAATGAAAAGTGTTTTCGGTTTGCCCCAACTCTCTTTTAAGGCGTAGCCGCTTCCGTGCACGGCACACCCCCCCTTGTTGGGAGCTAGCTGCGTTTGGGGTGACTCACCACTCCCTGTGGTTGTTCTTAGCAAACCAAATTAATTCATACCAGTGCTTTGTGTGCCCTACCTGTTGATGTGCATCTTTTTTGTTCAGAACCTGCTTCTTTCCTCCCTTTCTCTCTACACAACTTGTTGACCGTGTGGTGGCGGCTTGCTTGTCCCCTTTTTTGGGTGTGCGCTCTCTGCTCGCAGGCACCCTCCTTGTCGCTGCTCCGAGGACTCCTCTCGCTTAACCCGGATGACCGCCCGGGCTTCTCCTCCTTCCCGCCAACGCCACCACCACCACCGCCGCCGACAACAGCACCGAGACAAAAAGAACAACACCAACACCCCCACGTAACGACAACCTTGGCACCAGCGACGACAACAGCGCCTCCCACCGACTCAGAACAGCCGGTCGCCGACGACGTGGGGAAGGGCAGATGCTCCGGAGACACCCACGGGGAGGTGGCAGGCACAGCACCAAGCGGAGCGGGGGGGGCACCGCCGCTGTGCTTGATGAACGAGGCGGGGGTGCGCGGGGGTGCGGCGGCGGCGGCGCGTAGGCCCGTGGCGCAGCAGAGCCCCTCCTCCGCGCGGACCGCTTCCCCGGGGGGGGCTAGGGCTAGGAGAGCAAGTTGCGGGGAGCGACCACCTGTCTTGCTCTTGGAGCACGTTTTTTTTAAAGGACTGCCGGGTTGGGGGGGGCCGGGGACGGGGGGCGCGTGGGAGGATGCCAAGCTCGAGGGCTCGGCGGTGGCGGTGCCGGCCCTGTGCGACGTACTCGACGTGCGACATTTCGATTCAAGGTGCGTGTTGTTGTTGTTGTTGTTATTGTTGTTGTTGTTGTTGTTGTTTCAACATTTTTAATGATTTTTGAGGTGTTGTTTGTTTTTGTTCTTGTTTCGACGATTTGTGCTGTTGTTGATGCTGTTTTGACACGTTTTTCTTTTCCAGTACGTCGGGTATTTTGGGTCGAGTAGCGCTAACGTAGCGGTTGTGTCATGGTTGTGTCATGGTTGTGGTGTGGTGGTGTTTGCTACTGTACTTGGTGCCATCAGTTCCGGCTGTCTACAGCAGTATTCACGTAAAATCCCCCCCACGTACCCACAGCAGTATTCACGCCAAAATAGCGGCTTGCTCACCTCACCCGGGCACCCTCCCTACTATCGGTCTCTATCGACCAATGTGTATACAGGTTCACTAGCCAAGCCGTGGAGTTGTCCTTGCAGGGACACCCTCACAAGGGCGGTCCGACCCCGGCATTCGAAGACTTCGAGTGGCGAGAGGACAGCTGCATCGAGTACGCGCAAGCAGCCGAGCGAAGCACCCCCGGCTTGTTGGAGAGCTTAGCGTCGGCGCTGTGGTGTTGAACAGCGAAAATGCCGCCTCACGCTCCAACGGTGTAGGCGTGTCTGGCGTTTTAGTTCTTCGTGGGAATTTAGGTTTGTCTCCTATCTCGATCATATGGCGTGGTCGGATGGTCGACTTTTCACTCAGGACATTAGAGAGTGGCCTTTAAGTTGCATCAGGTAGGCCTCGGTGTACGCGCGCAGCCCCCTCCCTCTCCTCAATTGCCCCGGATCTTGGTACGAGGATTGAGATTCCCGTCCTGTTGACTGTGAACACCCAGCCGTCGTAGTTTGGCGAAGGTGCCTTGGCGGTGTCATAGAGTGTGCGCTCTGCGTGCGAAAAGACGGCCACTTAAAGCTGCACCCAGCCCCAACGCCGCAGGCAAGATTATGCTGAAAGGTAAATAGCGTTGTAGGTTGAACACGCATTCCTGCATGTCTCGAAGGTGAGCGAGGACTTCAGTGACCAAATTACGTACGTACCAGGTACGCGTCTTTTGGCAACTTCTAGAACTGTAGTATAGGTAGAGAGAGAGAGGAAAGGTGCCCGTAGTTTCCTGATTGGCCAATTTTTCTGGCCGGAAATTTCCTGTGGTCCAAAACTCCGTGTTCGACCGGTGACGTCAAGCACGGTCATGAGGTCGCCATTCGGCGTGTGTTTCCAGACCGAGACACCCCACGACTGCCGGTTTAGCGTCGGGTCTGTTGAGTTTGTAGTCGGCCTCATCCCCTGTGAGGGTGCCGCTTCGTTTGTCAGGTGGTGGAACGTTGCTACCTGTCTCGAGTCGGAGGACTCGAGCGAAGGGTTTTTGTACAGATCGGGGGACGGCAAACTAGGGCGTATGTATATGAATATCACGCGATGGTCGTGCGCCTTGCTGTGGTTGCTTGTCATGGCTGCTGCGGGAGAGGCAACACAAAATAATGTTGGCGTTGCCGTTGGACACCGTGTATATATTTTTGTGTTGAATCAGGGATTGCGCTTCGGATGGCTGTGGTTGGATCGCACTTTTTGGGCATGGGAGGTGCCAATGCTGGCCGAACCACGGGGATGTCGGTGTGAGATATAGTTTTTTTTTTGTTCCTGCGAGAGTGAAATTTCCCGCAGTCGCTCCCTCAGGATACGCGCCCTGTGTTGTCCCTACCTACGCTCATATTTATATATGCTCAATTACGCTCTATTATATATATATTTTGTCCATATTTCATTTTTTTGTCCATCGGATCTGTACAATGATTCGTGGACGAATTGCGGCGATTCATCCGTCCGACCAACCTCCTCGTGGAGAGCGTAGCCAACGTTAATACTTTCCTGCGTGTCGTTTCATCCCACGGGAGGGGTGTGAAACGGAGGAACCCGTTCCGTAGGCTTGTTTGCTTTGGGCGGGGAATATCGCATTCGTGTAAGAAGCATCCCGTGCGCAATGGGTTCGCATTCTGCTTGTATGCGGTTTTCGTGCGCGTACTGCATTGAAACAAATTTAGCGATGAGCCGTTGCCCCGTTTGCGAGTATTTCCTGGCCATTCTGAAGCTGTACAAGAGCTTCCTAGTCTACGACTTTTTTCGCAGTGCGTGCGTGCGTGCGTGTTCCCATGTTATTGCGATATCCCAATCCTTACCCGACTGGTTCTCGAAAGACGATCTCGATCTATGCCGCACGTCTCGTGACATCTCGAGGATGCCTCGAGAGGGCATCACAAATCACGACCCCTCGCCAAGTTTCGTCGACTTCCGCACCCAGTAGCATACACGACGAGCGTGCGGCCATGTGCGACCATGCGTGATGTTTATCTTTCTGCCGCTTCCCGATTCGACGACTTCTCGGACATTTTGGAAACATTCGAATCTCAGGGTCCTTGACTCGTGAGCCTGTGCTTGCCTGCCCTATCTAACATCGATCTCTCAGATTCGCTTGCTTGCTATTTCTGTACTGATGAAGACGTACGTAACCCGAATATGAGGGAATACAAAGCTTATCTGCTACACTAAATGCTGGAGACAGGTGGTAGAATAGGAACAAATCAAGAGGCTCTGCGCCAGTTTATGTGTGCTCAAATCGTCTTCGCCTCAAAGCGCTGTCGAGCAATGAGAAAGACGGCGACGCGTGTAGCTCCAGGAGCGAATACGCACAATAATTGTACTGGACGACAAGCGGAAATGACTCCCGTCAGCCGCCCGAGCCCATAAAAGGCTCTCTTCTCCACGTACACAGAATTGTCGAAGGATCTCCAAAAACCAGGTATAGAATACGGCAACGCATCAACCAACTATTGCTAAAGCACGACAACAGGAACTAACTCGGCACGGCACTCGAACATGAAAACGAAATGGACCAACATTGCTCGCTAAATAAAGCCTAGAAAGACGAACTGAGGAGCGACCCGAAAAAATTGACGCCCTTGCGTTGTGCAATGCGATGACATTTATTTGTTGACTACAGTGATATCAAGGTGAAAGGTTGTGCTTTGATATGAAAATTCAGGTTCGTCGTTTCGAACTTCCAACGTGACAAGCAAGCGGCAATCCCAGGACCTAGCCGGGTAAATAAAAGCATTCACAGAACAACAACGACAGCAAACAAAAACAATTAACAGTTTTCACTACACAAAAACCAAAGTGAAACACAGTCTCCTTGCCGGTTGTAACACCCGACTCTGCTTTCACATGGCCGCCCGCTTCCCTCTCCACCTAGCGGGGAAGAATGTACAAAATGGACAGAATCGAATCAAGGTCGAAATCTCCCGGGTACACACAGAAGTAGCTGGACGTTTCGTTACATCCCTTTCTCCTACGTGGTGTTTGTTACCTGAGCGGATCGCCACCGTCGAGGCATCTATATCTCATTCACTACAATCCCATCCACATGTTGAGACAGTGGTACCTCCTTGCGCCAGACCCATACAACCAGACAAAAGGTGTAACTCTCTTATCTTCGGATGAATATGGCGTCCGAGAGAAAAACAGAGTTAACCATCAGTGAGACGGAACACAATGAGCGTCACCGATACGGAGCGTATACACGCTACGAGATCAGAAGCGACGCTTCGTCGACACGCGAGCCTCGAGAGCCGCGATGAAGCCATCGATGCTCTCGTGCTCGCTCGCCTCCTGCTCCACCATGGCGGGAGTGAACCGCCCCCCGTCCCCGCCGCCGGCAACTCTGCCGCTGCCGCCGCCACAACGGGAACTCCCCCGCGTTTTCGCCGGCTCCGGGTAGTCCTTGAAGATCTCGCGGAGACGCCTGTCCTGCTCGGGCTCCAACTTGTCCACCTGGAAGTAGTGGAGAGTCATTTCCAGCGCGGCCGGGTACCTGGCGTCGTGGTCGGTGGGCGGGGCGGGGTAGGGGGGGTACGAGCGAATGGCCAAGAACGTTATTCATAGAGACATCGAGGACCAACGTCCCGCGCCGAAGGTCTCGTCCAACTGAAGTTTCCATTCAGTTATACACGGGAAGAAGACGTAAAACGAACAGCAAATAAGCCCTCAGAGAGGGTGGATGCAATATTGCAACAGCCAAGGGAAGCGTAGGTTTGATAGGAACGACGTTGACACTCGTGTCACAGGGAGGGAGAGGTCTTTTTCGCCCCGACCCTTCGTGGGCAGGGTCTGTCGCGAAGGTGTATAGACTATAACAGAAATATCAGAGATTATCCCACCCACCAGGCAGATATATCCGACTTTTAGGATGTGAGATAGCCGCAATTCTTGCGCTGGCTCAAACATCGGTAGTTGTCTCAACAATGCGGGGGGACATATACCGGTCGCAGAAAACAAACGGGAAAATGACAGAAAAGCTTACCCCCACTGACATCATCAAGCCCATCAAAATTGTGTATTGCGAAGCAGCAAGTACCCGATGCAACAGAGCCAGCAACCCAGACATTCTTCGCCCCACATTGCCTTAACACCGAAGCAGGTACCGCAACACGAGCACCAACACCGACGCAAATCCAAAACAGACAAAGAGAGGTGCTGCAGGTGCCCGGCCTGACAACAGCGTTCTTCTCACTTCATGTAGCCGAGGTAGATCTTCTTGTCGATGCGGCCGGGCCGGATGAGAGCGGCATCCAGAGTTTCCGGGTGGTTGGTGGTCATGATGACGATCCTTCCGGGGGTGTCGACTACCCCATCGAGAACGTTCAGGAGACCCTGTACACAAGAACAATCCAAGCCGCAACATACAGCAGTGCTTATTTGTTGGCTTCACATAAAAACTGTTCCGATCTCTCAGCCCAGTACCTCCATTTGTCTGTAGTTTTTTGGTCGGAAAAATACTGGTACTCTAGTAGCGATGCTCCAGAAAGTATTTTGTGGGGGGGGGCGTTGCCTGCCTGGTTTCGAGAAAAAAGAAAGCATTTTAGAAAGAAGGCGGCGCAGCTCGCTCACCGCGAGGTCGAGCTTGTCGGACTTGCTCGCAAACTTGCTCTTCGACTTGCTCTTCTTCGACTTGATCTTCTCCTTCGACTCATCCCCGAGGCTCTTGGCCAGAGCCAACATCATCGCCTCGTCCTCGTCGTTGCTGTCACCGCTCGTTTGTCGAAGAGGTCCGCACACGCTCCGGTCGTCACTAGAATCTCCTGACGACGACGAGCCGCTGCAAGAAGAGCTGTCGCTGCCGCATGTCGCTTCCCTGTCTCCATTGTCTTCTTTTCGCGCACCGCCACTCCTGTTGTTGCCAGGGCAGGCGCCCGCTGCTTTCGCAGCTGTTCAAGTGGGAGAAAAACACAAAATAACAATCAAATTCAACCGTGGAAGCAACAGTCCCACCCATGTTGACAACGGATGTCCTACAGAAACACCGTCTTGTCACGACCTTCCCATCGACGCATTGCTTGGTATCGACGCTCGTTTCGAGAACTGACAGAGGAATATCTCTGGCCGACTCTTCTTCCAACGTGGTGCCTGCTACGACCAACATATGTCGTTGTTGCCGATACCGTCACCAAGACCCCTGTCGGTGAGGCTGTTTACATCACCCTCGTAACGTACTGCTACCGACAACATGTTACCGACAACGTACTGCTACAGACGAGCTGTTTTTCGCCAAGACTCAATTCTTACTTTGTGTAGGGGGCAGACTTCTGCACTGTACCCCCACGGCGACTGTGTAGTGTAAGATCCTTGACTGAGCACGCACATGTTCTTACGACCAAGTTCTTACACTTGAGATTTTTCAGGGACTCAAACTCTTCACCGCTCGGTTCTTAGGAGGTGGCGCGTTCTGTTCAGCATTTGAAGCATGCACCGGTATACTCCTTCTGCACCTGCCTGCCTGCAACGAAAAAAATGTGGCTTAACTGGATTCCATCGATTGGTTCACTCACGGCGGTGGTCGTCAACGCTGTCCTCGTTGCTTGAGCTGCTCTGCAAGCTCTCCATGGTCGTGGTGGTGCACCGCTCGAACAACGTCACCTTGCGGGTCGAAGTGGCCATGCTGTTCTTCTCGCGTTCGGTTGGCTGGGAGACGGACCTCTGGATCATCACAGGCCGCGACAACGCCAGCGTGTTGGCAGTTGTGGCAGTCGCGTCAGCAGCAGCAGCAGCAGCAGCGGCAGCAGCGTTCTTTTCACCCTCTGGTGTCTCCGAAGTTGAGCTCTTGGGTTCGGCTGTTGTTGGGCCTTCGGCAGCCGCAGCAGCAGGAGCCTTGGCGGGCTTCTTCGTGGTGACCGGGTGAGGTGTAGTCACCTCCTGCGTAACCTGCGTCGAAAAACAAGCGGAAACGATGGGGTACATGTACCCAGTATTACCAGATGTCTGCTAGTGGGTCGCTGAATTTTCACGTGTTGAACAGACTGCCGGTATAGAAGACAACGGGGTAAACAATGTACCCATGTCAACAGCCATTGTTTTTGTGGTTAGATGGATTTTACCCATGTTTCCTTCTCCCTGCAATGACCTACAGGAATCCTGCAGAGCCAACCCCCCGGGTCTCGTTGCTCTGTGAAAAGTAGCAACTTCCACATGTCCAAGCGGGATCTCTTCCTGCAACACACCCGATGCATGCACCAACAACAATACGTGGCGTGCGCTTCCCCGCATAGTTGAAGGAAAGGAGACGAGGGTGGAACTCGCCTTGACCGTGGTCTTAGTTCCCCGCTTCTTCCGCTTGGAACGCTCCCTGGACTGCACGATGGGAGAAGCGGCATCTACGTCTTCCATGACGAAAATCACGTTCTCGAAGCCCAAGGTGACCGGGAGCTCTTCGCCCACGACGGCAAACCTTTGGTCGAACACGATGTCCATCAGCTCCTGCAAAACGTGAAACAGTGAATGGACCGCCGATGAATCGAACATACGGAGTAAAAAAATAGACGCAGGGAAAGAGGTTCGGAGGGGGGTGTGGTCATTTGTGTGCACGGTCGCAGGGAAGAGACTCAGGATAGGTGGTAGGGGATGTGGTCATTTGCGTGCACAGTCGCAGGATATCACGCGCTCTGGACCCGCGTTTACCTACAACACCGAGGCGGCGTAGACCGAAGGGGATGTGAAGGCCAACCGCAAGTCCGACCAAAACCAAGGTGCCAACATGACGGAAGCAGAAAATGTACGAGAGAGAGGGACAGGTACACAGAGACAGAGACAGACAGACAGAGGTGACGCATGCAACACGACGGGTCTGTCGTACATATGAAGTATGACCCGTGTAGATAACCTGAGTGGAGGAGAGTGCGACTAGGGTAATCACCTGGTTGGTTTTAATCCGGCCGAGCGGCACGTTGACGACGTTGCGCCCGGTGTGGCAAGCCAAAGCCTTGATCATCGACGTCTTCCCGGTCCCGGGGGGGCCGTGCAAAAGTAACCCCAGCTTGTGAGGGTAGCCCTTGATGGCGTACTTGCCTGATCTCGGTGGGCCAATTCAGTGCGATGTTCAGGTGAAGGGTTTGGGTTTTCGGGGCTTCGTGTCAGAGGAACTGAAGCTACTAGCGAGTGGTAGACTTGGGACGGTGTTCTACGATATGTTCACCATAAACAACCTGTTGTGCAATCGTCGTGCAGCCACGGTGGATCTTGGGACGGCCCCACCATTGTGCGCAATGGACACAGTAACGTCGGCTATCTGTCAGTGAACTTTTCGTTTCCTCTCTCGGGCCTCGCGCTTAACCCCCTTAGGGCTAGATCGCCTTTTGGGGACACTGTTTGTCCCCATCTTCTTCACCTGCTTTACCTCGCGAAGAATGGCACGATTGCCTCCTCCTTTGAACTACTCGACCAGGGGGGTGCCAGGGTACACGGGGACGACTCTAGTTTAGCATGGATGCTTTGTAGAGTGGAGGAGTATGAGGGTATTGAACAGGTCGAATCGGGGGGCGATTGCGCCGCGGGTTCAACAGCGAAGTTGCGCCGCGTCTCTCTACCCTTGGGTGGAAAGCGCTACTAGGGGCAAGCGCGGAAGAAGTACCTAGCCCACCGTTGATAGGAGGCACCGGGCAACCTAGGGCTTGGGTTAGGGGGTCTCGCTTTCCCTCTAGAGAAATATCTTGAAAACCCCCTTTTCGTGCCCCGTTTACTACGCTCCCGCCAGTTTGCTGTCTATAATCCCTATCAAATGTCCCCTCGATTCGAGGGGACATTTGATAGGGATTATAGACAAGAGACGACTCAAGTGGGAAGGCAGCTTTGCACTTGCACCCAGGGATGGAACTGTCTGCACCATCCAATCAGCAGGCGTCGTTCGCGTTTTTTCTTACATTTAAGAAATTTCGCAAGAACGCCGAATTTTCTGTACGTGGTAAGGGGGTTAAGGTAAGGTTGTATTTGTGCTCGCCGCGACCCCCAGCTATTCGCGAGATGTTACACACCAAAACAGCATTTCAATCAAACCCCCTCGAACTCGGTGTACGCATTCAACGGGGCTGGCAGTACCACCAAGGCCCCAGGAAGATCGAGTCGAATGGCTAATAGGTCGGGGGTCAACCTGTATCACCAATGCCTGCAATCGTACAGGGATAGCACTCGCTGGCTCTACTGTTCACGTTGTTGGCATCGAAGCTGGGGGCGGAGACAGTGGAGGAGAGGAAAAACGCCGACTCTCCTTGAACACCTCTCGTTTCGTTTCCACCCACCACTCTTGTCCTCGAAGTGCTCAAGGATCCTCAACAGCGCGTCCTTCTCCGGGAAGAACAGGCTGTCAAAGTCCTTGCCGTCGCTCAGGCGGTAGCGCTTGTACCTTAAGGTCGGAATCGGGGTTGACGCAGGAGTGAGGGGTCTGTTGAGCCGAGGACAGGGTGAGAGGCGTTAGGGTACCATAGAGAAGGAGGAACCAAGACACACACATGCCGATTTCAACCCAACCCGCCCTCTGGCACGAGTTGGAGAAGTTTATGGGATCATCATTGACTTGTCACCATGACACCGAACCAACACCCACACCGTATTCTTTTTTCATCGTCATTTTTCGTCTGCACATATACTTGCTCGCCTCAAGCCCCTGAGTTCTGCTTCTATCTCAAGGATTCCAGACTTTCGAAGGCACTGAGTAGACGTCCACAACAGTGTCCAGCGTCGAGGCAGCATCGTACGTGGTACCGTAGCAACTATCAGCAGCCATTACCACAATGGCAACGAGGGAAATTTCGCCCGAACTCGCTGAGGTCAGAGTGCATTCAGAGTGGGGTATGAAAACAACGGAAGACCCGAAGCAAGCTGCATAAGGTACCACATCCCCTGGACCGATTGTCTAACCTCGAACACCTCGGTGCCGAAAATGGCGACGACGGGACCGTCTCGTCTAGCGCTTTCCGAATATGCAATACTTGGCTACTGTGGCATCCCTGTTCGTCGTGGAGTAATTGAGCTTAATTGTTCGGGGGGGTGGTGTCTTTGGCAACTTCTGGTACTCAATTCCGACAAACTATGCAAGGCCAGATGTTCCAACGTTTCACTCTCTCAAGCCCACATTCTCCACTGGCGGACATGTAGCGCGCAGAGCAGCACTCGAGGACAACACAACTAGATGTGGCTTCGTGACTCACTTTCTGACGGGCCCTTCCCCGTTGTCCTTCCCAGGCGATGACGCAAACCCCTCGTTTGCGATAAGCGTGTAACTGCCAGGCCGCACGGTGCACGCATGATGTCACGGTCGACGCGGTTTCGATATCTCAAACTTAGGCGTGCCAACAACAGTCACAGGGGGAGATATCCCTGAGAATTTCCGTTGGCTGAGGGAAAAACCACTCTCAATACACGGCGGGGCACTTTTCAGCTCCCCCGTATTCGCCAACCTTTAGACGTAGGATCTCAATAAGGTGTCGGGACGACAAATACTCTCGACCATACGACAGCAGTGTGCATACTTCCTCTGTATCATAAGTTAGGGTACCTAAATGCAATAGATTGTCTGGGTGCAACCGTGTTAGTGATGGTAGCATGGTCGGGTTTGTAAGAAAGATATAACAAAGAAGAAGCGATAGAAAAAATAAAATAAAAAAACGAACATCTATCTCTGTACCTAATATCGGTCAAAATATACCCTATTTTGGCCTGTTTTGGGAAATATTATGGGATTGTTTTTGAGAATTCTCGAAAAAAATCTCAAAACCATCTGATATTAGTACCCTACCGGCCCACTACTCACTCTAGCGATGGAATCGCCCCCCAGGACACCACCTCGCAAAAGGGGCACCGAGTTATCGGTTGGTAGGCGCTATGCCATGGCGGTAGAAATTGCGATGGGCATTCAGCCGGGGTTGTCAACGATTCCCAAGGGCGTGCTTGACCCGATCTGCGAACGCTACGGTGTCGGAAAGAAGTACCCGTCCAAGTGTCTTGATTTTAGTGTGTGACCCCCAAGTGTCTTGGTTTTAGTGTGGCTCACTACTATACTGCTTTTATTATAGGAGGCGCGACATGGATCGTTGAGTAGCGGGGGGGGTTGGATGAGGGCCCTACTGTTGCTTGCTTTGCCCCGCAAGTGTCTTGGTTTTAGTGTGGTCCCCCCAAGTGTCTTGTTTTCAGTGTGGGGGCCACTATTATGCTGCTTTTAGTATGGGGGACGCGTCATGGATCGTTGAGTAGAGGGGAGGCTAGGTTTAGGGTCAGGGATAATTCTTGGTATTTTTGCCTTGTTTTTGTCATTGCCCCGCCCCCCCCGCCTGGTCGCCTGGTCGGAGGGGGCAGAATACATGCAAAATACGGCCTTTTTCAGGCCGACTGGTTTTTTCTCGGGCGCTCATGCACGCGGGGTGGCGCATGCATAAAAATAAAAATAAATGTTTCTTGCTAAAAAAACTACGAAGATTTCAACAAAAAAATCGAAAAACAGATCGGACACGGTTAAGGGCCCGTACAAATTTAGGTACCCTAACTTATGATACAGAGGAAGTATATCTATATCGATGTGTTCCTACTGTTGATCATGTCTTATGCATACAAGGCGCGCCTCCGGTGTGGGCTCATCAGAGCATAGTAATACAAGTAGTGCCATCAAGGCGTGATGTAAGATTTCAGAAAGACGTGTGCTGGTGTGGATCAGCTGCCAGCTGCTACCAGTGACGTAACCCAAGCTCGAACAGCTGACGTGTTTTTGTCACCCTAAGCCCAGCGAACCTCAA